TGTATAATGATGAAGCAAGTATGATAGCAGGTTGATTGCTTTGTTAGGTATATGTATTCTTTTGAGGGATTTGCATAGAGTTGATATATAAATTGAGTCAAAGGCTTTTGACATATTTTGGAACAAGATTCAGATCTCTTTTTGGTTTATAGTTGCATTTTCTAAGATGTGAATGAGTTGAGAGATAGGTTGGAGTATTGATTGATGAGAAAAAGCTGCAAAGTTATAGGAAGAGAGCACTTGGTTTTGAACTAGGATATCTGTCAAATGATTTGTTAAAATTTTGTAAAGAGTTTTCTGATATGGTCTATTAATGTAATAGAACAGATAATATTTAGTTTATAATTATATTGTTGCTTTTTAGAAATTGGCTAAATATTAGTTTTTAACCATTGGTTTGGGACTATTTCTTGTATTATGTAGCTGTTGAAGATATTTAGTAAAACTGAAAGAGCTAAAAATGGCAATTTCTGAAGAACTTCATTTGTGATTCCAAAAGGTCCAGTTGCTTTTTTTTTAGGAGCTAGATTTATTGTTTGTATTAATTTGGTCATTGAAATAGATAAAATGAGAGTATTGTAAATATCCTTTCATATATGCTGAAGTGAAGAGTAGAATGGCTTCTATTCTTTCCGTAATGAATTGTTAGGAGGGTTATTTTTTGTCCAGTTTTTGAAATGAGTGTGTTTAGCTTCTTTGATCTCTTTTTGGTTGATAATTATACTGTCAGGTATTATAACTTTTTCATAGCTAATAGGTTTTGCTCACCTTTGTAGAATACTATCTAGCATTCGACTAATATTGTTTTTAAAGTCAGAGTATCTGCAATTAATATAAAAATTAATACATTCAGTTTGTTTCTGTTTTTTTTTATAGTTGCATGCTTGCCAAATTGTATATTTATGTTGTTTGACTCAATCTATAGTATTTAACTGTGAATGAGCAAATTCCTCTTGAGTAATAGAAATAATGCTAATTTCTGCTAAGGTCACTTCTTTTGTTAAGTACTGATTAGCCTATGCTATTGTATCTGTTGATCTATTTAATAGTTGTTATAGATATTTGTTAATATTTTTTAGAGCTATATAGAGTTTTGTTGCTTTTAGTGATATAGCAAAGAAAGCCTATGAGGCTGTAAAGGTATAAAGAATGTGTTTATTCATTGCTTTTTTTATTTTTGATACCCAGTAATTCCATGTTCTATTGATATCATTTTTATCTATATTTGGTGAAGAGGTTTCATAAGAATTGAATGATATATTTACTGAGTTTGCAAATTCATTCTATATATCTGCTATAGTTTTTTTATACAAATATATGTTTCTTTTTTTTTTTTTTGTTTCTAGAAGCTTTCAGCAGATAATAATTTGTATATTATGTTGTGTTTAATATACGATAGTTGCTGTTTTTAACATAAGTAGCATCAATTATAGTTGGTGGATTGAAGGCTAGAGTATATTTAAAAAAATCCAAAAATCATCTATTTGACTAGTTGAATTAGGACCATGCCAAGTAGGTATTTGTATGTTATAAAATCTAATAGGTTAGTTAAGTTGGCAGTATATAGGTCAGTAAAAATTGAAAGTTGTTTGTTTCTGTGCTGGTTTGCATTAAAGTCACCCAAGATGATCAAATGCCAGTTTTGAGATCTGGCCTCTGTAACCCAAGAGCAAATTTGGAATTGTGTCTGTCTTAAAAGTGAAGAAAGTTGTAAAGGAAGATATGCTAAAATAATGTGAGACTTGTTGTTATTTGGAAAAAAAAAGTCGATGCAAATTGTAGTATCAGGTAGAATATTGATGTTATGAATATAGGGCTGTAATTAGTTGCAAACTAATAAAGCTGTTTCCAGACTAGTCTTTCTTTGATTCAAGTTATATAGTGAAAAGTTAAATATATATATTTTGTAAAAAGAATTAGTGTAGAATTTTGCTGCTAAGTCTTTTATTTTAGTTTTAGTTATAGAGATTATATGTAGATTTAATTCTATACAAGTTTGATCCAGTTTTGCATTTTTAGTATATTGTTGATGCCTCTGATGTTGTATATAGTTATGTTGATTTTTTCGTTTAAATTTAGTTTAATTTTTTCTGATTTATTCTCATTATCTACTAAAGGCAGATTGTTTATATAATAGCTTGTGCTCATTAGTAATTCATGTTGGCATCTTTCTTTCTGTCTAATGTTTGTGTATGTGTGGTTGTTATTTGTTTTGGTAAGTCAAAAAATTCAAAAGACAGTTTAGGTAAGTCTATGAGATTAAAAATGTATTCTGGTAAAGAGTGATAGGTGAAGTTTTGTTTAAGGGTTTTCATAACTAATTAAATATTATGATGCTTTTGTACTAGAATGTATATGTTTGTAATTTGTTTTTGTTCAAGGGCCAAGCAAAGTTGTTCTACTGTTGATGGTTGTTTGGACAAGACTGATCCAGTCTTTAGTTGTTTTTCTTTTTTTTGTATCTGAATCCAAGACTAAGTTATGGCATAAAAATAATAGTGCTCTCATAATACTTTAACTGCTATGTTTAATTCTTTAGAAGTTGATATTGGTAAAGTTAGATTGACCAAAGTAACTAAATTAGCATCTTCAGGCAGATCTGAATGATCTGTATAATTAAAGCTTGTGCCAATAATAATGGGATATTGTAGATTCATAGGATACATTTAATAAAAGCATTTACTTCTTCTGTGCTCTGTAAAGAAAATGTAAAATTAGACATTTTTAAATCTATTAAATCTAAAAGTAGTCATCTTCAAGAGATAATATAGTCATTAGGTAGTCTGGTAAAGAAATAGTTCATGTATAGTAATCTGATATATTTCTTAAAATCATCTTGATTTTCAGATAGAAAAGGGAATCTCTCTCTTAATCTAGATGTTAGATCTTGTGAAGTAGAAAGCAAGGGTGTTTTGGTGCTGGTAGATCAAAATATTCAGCTAGTGAATAAGTTGTCATACCTCCAAGTGGTAGGTTGTGAGTTCAAAACCCACTGACAGCAAAATTTGGATAATTACCTATGTAATATATAGATGGTATTATGGTGATAGCATTCTGTTGATCAGTTATGATAGGATACCTGTAACTATAATCACATCAGCATGACTGGCAGGTCTGGGGCATCCGTGAAACCTGTTATACAGAGAAATGCAAACCAGTACCAGGCAGTGCAAACCTAAAATAAGTCCTCAGACTGTGTAAATCTGTAGAACTGGGAAGCTGGAGCCCACTTGAAAATTCCGAGCAGAGAGGTAACATGAATCTTCGACGATACTACTATAAAGGCTAGACCTAGGAAATGGATACCAATGTGAAGGATTCAGGCAAGCAAGAACCTCAGATAAGAGGTATTAACAACCAGACTGCCAGATTTCGGACCAGAAGAAAAGGATATTGGGCTGGCCTCAATATACCAAGGACTGATCACAGTCCTTCTGGGCTATCTGGATTGAAAGTCTGGGTTCAAAGCAGAAGTATATTAAAAGTATTAGGGATATGCTGTGAAGTCAATACTAAGGTCTGGGTGAACTCTGTAAGGGTAACCTGTGTTAGTGTTCTAAAAGTGGATAGATAGTTAACAATAAGGGCCCCCACACCTTACTGGCAGATAACATACTCTGAAATGTATAATGCCCTAGGAACCAGTACAAAAAGGGTAGGTACCATACTGCTCAGACAGTATACTAGATAGGTATATATGGAGGGTTAGTTTGGGAATTTCAATATGACAAGACAGATGATCAGAGAGTTTAAATAGATAATCTCCTAGTAGGTTATAGGTATGGCATCTAGTGTAGAACCTTAGGGTGGACTACTTAAATAGGCAACCAAAAGTTGCACATGAGACTAGTTGTACTCTCATCTTTGTAAAAATAGTTGTAATAGCTAACCCAATATAAAGTCAATAAAGTATTGTCATAAGTATGGCCTTAGAAAGAAAAAAAAAAAAAAATATTTAGCTGGAATTTGTTGAAAAATATAATATTTTTGTAAGGTCTCTCTATAGTAAGCTAGCTTTTTTAGCTTAGCTCTGACTACAATAAGAAAGAGATATTGTACTTTATTTCTTAGGTCTTTATATGAAGCTGGTAAATTTTTATGATTGTTTGTGATATATTTGTCTGGTAGCTTATCAAAGAAGAATATTAGATGCAGTGTTCTAACTGCTGGTGTAAGAACCTATCAGCTTATGATAGGTAAGTTAAAGAGAATAGTTTAAGACAAATAATCTAAAATGAGCTCTGATCTGTTAGGAAAGAGAATTAGCATTTCATTTATTAGTTTTAAGACAACCTTTCTTGTTGTTTCAAAGCCTAAATTCTGTTGAATTTTTACAAAACCAATTAAGTAAAAAATATATTTTGTGATTTTTCAAGCATCTAAGAGGTTGAAGTTCAGGTTAGTTAGGTAATCTAGTGCCAGTTTTGTATGTAACAATTCGAAAATTTGGTCTCAGTTTTTTTTATTAGTAGCTAGTACATCATGTTGTTTTTTATATGCATCTAATGCATCAGAGAATAAGTTATTGAATTTATTCTGGTATTGTAGTCTAATTGCTAAAACTCAAGTGAAGTTTCTAAAGAAGGCCATGTCTTTGTGAAAGAATTTTACTTTTATTGCTGTTAAAATATGAATAATAGTTAGTTTTGTTAATAACTTGTATCTAATAGGTTCTTTCAAGTTTTGAAGTGAGGTTAGTGCATCCTTGGTTTTTTGTCATGTCCAAATCATTGCATCAAATGATTCTAGTTTTTCTTATCTGATTTTTTCTAAGACTACCTATGTATGTTTTTTTTATTCTTTTTTTTATTAGCTTGGAAATGAGGGTTTGAAGTTTTTCTAGTTCTCTTTAGAAAGTTTTTAACTAGTGCTTGACTATATGATATTTTTTTTGTACCTATTCTTCAAATATTGTATCAGTTAATCAGGTTTCTTTATTGTTGTCATCTTTTATATTTGTTGATGTGTGCTTTACTTTCATATTGGATTGTTGTTCTAGTATGCTAACATTCAAGTTGGATTGAAACATTTAGTTAGATAAGGCTAAGTTGTTTGTTTTTTCTATCTGCATTAACAAAAGAGAAGCAACATCTATATTGTTAGGATTCTGGATTGGGTCTTGCTCAGTTTGGTTGTCCATAGGAAGATTTGAGATTGTGGTTGTTGTTATTGTATGTAGTGATATCATTGCTAGATTTTTTGGAAGTATACTAAAATCTTCATTTTTTTAATTTTTTTTTTGTTAGTATTTTTTCTATTATTTATTTGTATAAGGATATCAATTTTATTATTAGTTTTATACTTCTTCTTATTATTCTGTTTATTCATAGTTTCTTGAATAAATCGTATTTGTGTATGTTGTTTGAAATATTTGTCTTAAGACTTATTATTGTCTTTGTAATATTGGTTCTAGATGCTAACTTAGTCAGCAACAATAGTAAGAAGAAGACTGAAGTGCAAAAAACTTTCTTGTGACTTCATTTAATTCTGTTGAATTTTATATTGTGCTGTTTGTTAATACTAGTATTTAGTTAATTAGTTAAAATATGTTTTAGTTTAGTCTTTTTCAAAAAAATTTTTTGTTTTCCCAATTTTGTTGTAAAATCAAGATTTTTAGAAAAGAGTTGTATCTATTTGATGATTCTGTAATATTTATTGACCTGAGATATTTATTTATTAATGCATAATTAATCTTGTGAATAATTTGTGTCAGATGTATCCTTATTATATCAGGAATGGAGTATGAAATACATAGAGTATGGTTTACTTAAGAGTGAAATGGTGTGTGTGATTCTTAGCATATGATTGGGTTATCCTTCATCATGACCTTGTATAGCACCTTGAACAATACTTTAAAAGGTAGGTACTAGGAACAAGTGCCTCTGTATGCAAAGTCTTGGAATTGATTGGTCCGCATGACTTATTCATGGTTTAGTAAAAAAAAAAAAACTTATAAATGAGCATGTACATCTGTAAAATCAATGATGCAATAACAAACAGTAGTAAAAATAATTTTTTTTGCACAAAAATTAGTGACCCAATGTAAATTTAAAGTCCTCAATGATAAATATTTTGTAATTTTCATTTTTTTTCATCGAATTTTTTATCGGGCAGATAAAATGATAATCACTGATCGTCAAAGGCTTAATCGAAAGAATTTGTCGATTCTTTCTAAATATGTAGATATTTTTCGTAGATTTTAATGTTTTTTGCAGGGCCCCAGAAATTTGGGTCAAATTCATCGGAATTGAGTGATGCTAACTAACCAATTATATAGCAGTCAGACATTGACTTCATTAATAGGTTTTTAGGCTGTCACAAAATTCAAACCAATATTCAGATTGCAAGTACTATCAACTTTTTTTATAAAGAGAAATAGTGTCTGCGTAAATTTCTCCTGTTCCTGGTTTCTCGCGACAACGTTGCGCAGCTACTTATATTATATTTACAAGAGTATCAGCTGTATTTTTTTTATGGGTGATGCTAGGTTTGCTTTCTTATTTATTTTATAAAATGTGGCCCATTTTTGAAGTTAAGGAATGAGATCAAATGTTATATCATAAAACTGATTAACGATCAATATCAATTAAAGAACAAGAAATGAATAAAAAGATTTCTTTCTAAATTTCATATTGATAACAATCTCTTACATAACAATAAATATTCTATTAGCAATCACATTTTGGCTGAGTTTTATTGAAAGCCGGTTTAACGGTATTTTTTACCTTTCGTCGTCTTTGATGCTAAATTACGTATGGGCCAATCGGGCATATAATAAACGTTTATCAAATTTTATATAAAAATATTCATTATGTTACTATTGTAAAAAAAAATGCTTTGAGTTAAAACTATCCCAACGAAGTAGACTGCTGCAATTTTATTGGATGCGCAAAATTAGTAAGGTAGAGTGTAACACGAAGGAATCGATAAGAAATGTTTCAGATTAATATTGCTCTATAAGATGTATTAATTTACTCAAAGAAAAAACATATGGTAATCTGTTCTCCATTATTAATGGCTCTATATCAAATATGCTAATTGTCTACGACTTTAAGTGAATATTTCCATCAAAAAACAATTTACCCTCAAATAGAAAACGCAGCCCATAAGAAATCACATGGATATGAAAGAATTGGTTATATGGCATTATGTAGTGATGTGGGAGTTAGTTATATATAGGTCATTGCCCTACCTACAGTAGCTGTGATGCCTGACCATTAAATATGGTTCTTCTTGCACGACCTACAGCAACCATGGTACCATTAAAACCTACTAATCAAGCATCAGGTAATACTTTATGAAACACGGCGAGACAAGCAATAGTGAAAAAAACAAAACCTCTACTACTAAAACACACTTAAATGGCAATAAGAAAATATTATATTTCCTATGTTGTTGATTGCATCACCAAAAATTATTTCTTGGAGAATTTTAACTCAAACGCGATTACAGTCAAAATCAGATGCATTAACGTTAAATGCACCTATACACTATTTAAAATTTCCTATTCATAATTAATTCCTGATTATGCACGAGTGTATATACACGGGCAATAGAGATATCTTAAAATTTTGATTATAAAATCACCTTTTGGCTTCTAACGAAAAAAATCCTTGCGATATTTTTGTACAAATTAAGTCCAAAACCAACACATACCCTAATAATAGCAAGTGTTCAATTTTTCGGTTGTAAAAATTGTCTTGATACCCGTGTATTTATACGTAGTGTACAAAAATAGACTTTTCTTTAATTCTATTGCGTTGACTATTTTTTCGGTACATCATTTTATAAAACTCGTGATTTTGGGAAAGGCTATGTTTTTACTTTACCAACTTAATATATATTATCTTCTTATGTCATTTGCCAAAACATAGTTAAGTCTTAGAACACAAGCTTGACAATTTTTTGGTATCATAATGTTTATCTTTTTTTGTACATATTTTTATGTTGTATCTGAAATTGCCATTTTGGATATCTAACGTAGCACCTGACTAAATCACATGCACAAAGATCTAATTTCAGGGGCTTAATTTTAATCAGGTCCCCATTTTAGATTTATCCCCTGGCCAACCACGTCTATGTAACTTTTTTCTGCTAGACAAATATCTATCGATTTAATTTAGGTAATTGAGTATTATCCTATTTAATCTTAAATGTCAAAAAACAATGCGCAAAATAAAGGTTTCGCTCTAAAATAAGTACACGAAAGTTGATGATTTAGTTGACTAACATTACCAACTAATGCTGTAATATCAAGAAAGTGTATATATGTTACGAGTCAAGTTGATTTTTAGTTTGAGTTAAACTTGACCCAAGTCAAAATGATTCTAGCAGAATTTTAAGGTTAGTGCGGACCAAAATTACGTTGATGCCAGCCAGATTTTTTAATTGATTAAATTGACCTGGGTCATGTTTAACTCAATCTAAAAACCAACTTGACTCGTGACATATATACGTATATACCAGTATATGCATATATTCATGGTAGAGATGAAAACCCGATACTACGCTTAATAAAGGTTTAATAACAATTGTTAATTGCTATTACTGTCAATTTTTGAGTTCCGGTTTTACTTAGTTATGCATGTGTTTAGTATTTAATATGGTGTACATTGTAGTAATATAGTCGCCAAAACCGAATGCTTTTATGGGTATAGCCGTTAAATTCGAAAGATTTATTATCTTACTGAACTAGAGTTGCCTGCTGCAAAGTCGCAACTTGCAATTTACAGCTTATTTATGTAGTAATTATTACAAAATAAGTCATCATTTACTAGATTAAGATGGTTACTTCTATTGCGACAATAAGTTGCAACCCTAGTTGCGCTATAAAAAAGTCGCAATTCATATTTGCAGCAAGCAACACTATACTGGACATGTAATATGTATATGGTTGTTTAGTTTTAATGTTTGGGGTAGGGTCGAATCACGTTACCTTGTGTTACACCACGTGATGAATCAGTTATATGGGTGTCGATCATTTGTATTTATTTGATTACGCCCAAAAAATATTTTTTTTTTTTCGTTTTTTTCGTTTTAAGTTTTATGCCAATACTGCGTGATAACATTTAAAGCAGTATACTTTACACAAATACTATTTTAGGGAGTAATTCATGATTTGACCCTTTTTATGTAGCACACGCATATAAATTAATTATATGTACAGTACATGCACACTGATACGAATTCATTGTAATCATATATTTGAAATGATATTAAAATTATTCGAACAACTTTCACAAGATTTTACACAACTTTTAGAAAGTGAATACGATTATAATGTAGTAATCGAAGTTGGAGAACAACCAAACATTCAACTTTTCAAATCACATTCAGCAATCTTGTATCAACGATCTTTATACTTCCGTCAAAAATTTGTAAATGCAATCAAGAAAAATAATATTATTGAAATTAAATTACCTCATGTTTCTGCTGAAGTATTTATTATTATTATCAAGTAAGTTATAGTATCATCAAATATATGTTTTATTATAAAATATTAATCTATTATTTTTGTCGATAGATATATTTATGGAGGTGTAGTTCCTTTAGAATATCTTGAAATTTCTACCGTATTCAATTTATTAGTCGTTGCTGGCGAACTTAGGCTTATAAAATTAGTTGAATGTCTCCAGTCTCACCTTATTGATAATAATGCATCTTGGCTTCGTTTAAATTTTTCTCGTGTTTATCAAATCAGTTTTCTTAACGAAGACTTTGGGCCCTTACAACAATTTTGCAATAACATAATTGCAAAGCATCCGAGCATAATTTTTAACGCTGATAAGTTTACTACTCTCCATGAAAATGTCTTAATTGCTCTTTTGAAGAATGATAATTTACAAATAGAGGAATCAGAAATTTGGGATAAAGTTATTCTATGGGGAAAAGCGAAAACTCCAAACTTACCGACTAACATTGACGAATGGACTATTGAAAATTTTAAGTCTTTAAAAGCTACCCTTCAACATTGTCTCCCTCATATTAGATATTTTCATATTCCTGGTAAAGATGTTTTAAATAAAATTAAACCTTATCGCAATATTCTTGAAGAAAATTTATGGGATGATATAATGGCAAAGTTCTTAGATCCAGATGTACCTATTGTTTCTCCAAATTTACCTCCGCGTAAAAAAGAAAATGTACAACTTCCACCTCGAAAAGCATCTATTATTAAACCATCTTCTTCTATAATCACATTACAGCATGCGGCAGAGATTTCATCATGGATTGATCGATGTCCAACAATTTATGATACTACTAATATTCCATATGAATTTAAACTTTTACTAAGAGGCAGTAGGGATGGATTCACGGGTGAAGTATTTCATAAATTATGTGATAATATACCTGGTACTATAGTTGTCGCGAAAATTAATGACACAAATGAAATATTTGGTGGTTATAATCCTCTTATCTGGAAAGTTGACAAATGTGTGTTTGCCAAAACTGCTGATAGCTTTATTTTTTCTTTGAAAAATGGAAACACAACTCAATCTATTCTTAGTCGCGTAGTTAACACTTCATATGCAATCTGTCATGCTAGAATATCACAAGGTCCATTCTTTAGTGGTGGTGATCTTGCAATGGGAAGGCCTGATAACTCTACGCTTAAAGAATGGCATTGTGGCAAATATTACTATGAGAAACAACTCAGAAGTAAAGATGGATGGTTTTTTATTGATGAGTATGAAGTTTTTCAAATTTGTAAAAATACTTAACGGATCCATCGCTAATTAAGTGCATAAGAATAAAAAAGTATCTAGTTAGCTGAATTCATAACATTCGTCTCTAAATGGAACATTTGAAAGAATAGTGCCTCCTTATATTATATAAATTTTTGCCGTACCGGGATCTTTTACAATATCACCTATACAGCAAGAGATCTAATTCTTCCTGAACTCAATTAAATACCTATTATTGTTAGCTGAGCAATAGTCTCAATGTCGAAATTATTAGCAATACATTATGCGTAAAAAGATAGACACTGTGTTTGTGATAGCATTTTTCACTATCATACTGTGAAACAGATTGTAAACTTTTAGATACTGGACCAGGAAAATAAAATAGTCTATACTAGAGTTGCAGGTGAAATGATGGTTAAACTGGAGAAACTAAATAGAACAGCCACTGAGAAACTTCATGGTGAAATTCGGTGATTAGTTTCACCTGCAGCTATTTCTATACCATATTGAGGCAAATTTAATTATTATAATTAATTTTATATGTTAAGGCATTAACAGAAAGAAAGATTTATGAGCGAAAAAAAATCATATTTAATGTTGTTGAAGCCAAGAAATGGGATTAATTGTTATATAGTAAAAACACCGATTAGATCAATCCAAAAATTAGAACATAGTGGTATCTGATTTTTCTTATAGAATTTTACTAAAATGCACCTATGGTATTTTACACTATGCATGCATTATCTCAAAAACTGGTTAATTAATCAGTACAAGGCGTTTCAAGTAAAACATCTACTTTCCTGAAAACCATTCACAAACCCTAATGCTAACTTAAAAAGTCAATCCTAACGTGAAAAAATTTAAGTTAAAAATTTCTATAACAAAACTTACAAAAACTTTGAAAATTTTAAAACACATAATAACAACATATAATAGGTGCAAAATACCATAGGTGCGTTTTATAATAATTGTTCTTATAAGTATGGACAATTTTGTTTTGATAAAAAATAATATTCGATAAATCATAGCATTTCATCTTTGCTGAATTCGATAAATTGATTTTTATACTTTTTAAGAATTCTTTTAGCAGCATTTTCTACCTTTGTTGTTTTTTTAAATGTTAAATTACGTATGGGCCAACTTAAACGATTTTTTTACTAGTTATGATATCATAAGCTTTTATTAAATTTACATAAGGATTCATTATATTACAACTGTAAAAAATAAAGACAATTTCTATTTGTACACGGAGTGTATTTACGCGGGCAAAATAAAAACCAACCAGCATCTCGAAATTTTAATTAGAAACCAATTTTTTGGTTTTTAACAAAAAAAATAAGCAATTTGGTATAAGCTATATCTTGTCCAATCCCAAACCCACACTTACCCTAACCATAAGCAAGGATTTAATTTTCAGTTGTAAAATTATTTTGATGTCATGTTATATGAAGTTGTAATTCAATAAATTATAGTCGTGTATAAACACTGCGTGTAAACCAATAACTTTTCAAAAATAAAAATGCCATGGATCATAAAGCCATGATTAACAATATAAATTTCTTGCCAATTTGGTATTATCAATTGATCAAAATCTCAATATCAAAGATAGTTTTTAT